TTTTGGGGTTGATATTTAGAATCCTGAAAGATAATCCCAAAAAGGAACTACTATGGGGCCTATGGGTGAACCCTGCACGCTAATCCTAAACCGCGCCCGGAAACACCACCTTGGCTATGTGCAGCGATGCGCGGCATCAGTCCCTAGTGGTCTATACCAAGAAACCATAATAATGCATACTCACAACCCTAAACCCCTTTCCTCTCCACCGTCCACGTGCAGGGGGAGGGTGCCGTGCAGGTGGACACCACGTCGCGCCCAGGGCCTTCATATAGGCGCCTTACTAATTACCTATAATGTTAATTTTGGGGGCTCCTTCCTACAAATATTCTGCATAATGTACCCCAAAACCCTCTTCTAATTATTCAAGCCCCTACATTCAGGGTTTTGGGGTGGGGATTGGGGGTGCAGTGCCGGTTTGAGGTTTTGGGGTTTAGGCTTGGGGTCTTAGGAGGTTCGAGCTGGATTTGATGAAGCCCCCAGACTCTACAGGGTTTCTTGGGGTTTAAGGTTGAGGGTTTAGGGGCTTTAGGGTTTAGGCTTTAGGGTTTATAGGCTTTAGGGATCCAGAAACCTCACCTGGACATGCAGGAGGCGCGGCCAACTAACACTTCAAGCAGTACAAAAGACGTGGCACCGCACGCGATGCGGACTCTGGATCTAATCTGTCTTTCCATCCATCCCTCCATCCCTCCATTCATCCATCCATCCATCCATCCATCCATCCATCTATCCTTCGATCTGCCTGTCTACCGTTAAAGGTGGCTGTGATTACTGTATGTTTTGAATATACATGTACAATTTATATTGTTATGTACAATAATATGTCTGCATGTAAAATCGAATATAAAAATGTGCAAGTTACGCGTGCTAAGTACTGCCCCTTGTCCCACTGCGAACACAAGAAGACCTACCTCGAAACTGGAATAAAAGCACTTGTGCGGTTTTGCAGAAGGCTTCCGAATTCTGGTGTCCTCTCCTCTCACTCGGACAAGCCAGAAGAGGTTGTTGGTGAGGGTTTTGGGGTTTAAGGTTTTCTTCGGCCTAGCTATTCTCGGAATGGCAGAACCCGACCCAATGATTCCCGAACCCCTGAACGAAAATTGTGGGTTCAACAACCTCTAACAAACCCTAAACCCTAAACCCTAAACCCTAAACCCTGACTCTAAATCGTAAAGGCGAACTGTAAACCGATTCAGAACTGCGGTCCCCAGTTTTGCGCAAAGAAGCCACAGCCTAAACTGTCTGGCCTAATATAGGGGCCTTAACAATCAGAATAGGGTCTTGGGGCCCGATATACTATACTAAAACTAATAATAAGGAGCCCTCCAAAACAGTATTGGTAATATTCAGGCCCCTACATTAATGCACCCGGTGTCCTCAATCTTGTCATTCTCCCCATAGTATGGCCTCTGATACCACGACGACTACGACTCTTACTTGCATCTGCAAAAACCCTACTGTCATTCCTGAACAGACTCTGAACCCTAAACACGAAACGCCAAACACTAAACCCAAATACTACTATGAGGCATGAATGCTGCCGTTCGATTCCGAGAGCCCAGTGCCCCCTGACTAGCCAAGATACCTCAAACCACAGAGACTTAGCACTACGAGTTCAGATGATGGTGTACCTCAGTCACGGAACCTTAAACCTTCAACATAATCTATACAGCCCCCCCTTTAAACAAATCCGAGATTCCCGAATGAAGGGCCCTTTATAGGTATCTGGCCTCCTGCAGCGGACGCGAACCGTCGACTCCCATCCTCGTACTACGTGCCAGTTTAGAAAGGCTAGTAGTGATTAGGGTTTAGGGTTTAGGATTTGGGGTAGGGATTCTAGGACCGGTTTAGGGATTGGGGTCGCGGATTCGGGTCTGGGGTTTAGGGCTTAGTCATGATGGTGTCTCGATTGTTGTTTAGGAAGGGGGTTTGACAGTAAGGGCTGCAGGAAAAAGGCTTTAAGGGTTTGGTAGTGGAACCTTTTTTAGGATTCCAATGGTTTTGACAAACCAGCAAAGACATAGGCTCCAAGGAATGCCGAGCCCTCAGCGTCCATGTGCCCATATGGTGTAAACTTAGGCCTGAAGTAAAGGGGCTCCCAGATGTAGCTGCTTTGATGCCAAAGTCTGCACCATAGAGATACGTGCACCCCTGAAAGGCCAAACCCCTACAGAAGCCTTCAGAATGCACTGAAGTCCGAAACCCTGAACCCAAAATCTTATCAACCCTCAGTATGAATACCCTCAAACGAAAAACCCTCACAAAGGGGAGACATACACCCTAAAGCCCTAAACCCCCAAAACCCTAAAGCCTTAAACCCTCGAGCCCTAAACCCCCCAAAACCCTAATGCCCTAAGCCCTTAAACCCTAAACCCCCAAAAACCCTAAAGCCCTAAACCCTTAAAGAAAACCCCTGAAAAGGGAGCTGCAGGGTTACGAAGCCCTAAACCCCAAAAACCCTAAACCCCTAAAAATATGAAGCCCTAAAGCCCCAACCCCCTTAAAGGAAACCCCTAAAGCCCTAAAGCCGCAAAAACCCTAAAGCCCTAAACCCTTACAGGAAACCCCTAAAGCCCTAAACCCCAAAAACCTTAAAGCCCTAAGCCCCAAAAAGGGAGCTGTAGGGTTCCGGAGCAGTGCCTGGCAGCAGCGGAGGCGACGGCAAGAGTCGTAGGGCTCAAGGCAGCGATCGCAGCCGCAGAGAAAAGCCTCTTCTATAGTGTAGGGTTTAGGGTTTAGGGTTTAGAGATGTTCTTTATTAAATATGAAATGTTGTATATATATATATACACATAAAGATATATAAAGACATCTCTAGATATATATATATATATACACACCTACATACAGTCTAATATGAATGGGTAGTTTACATGTTGTATGTGACCATATATCATGGGCTGAGGGCTTACGGTGTAAAGCTTGAGGATTGTCAGCATCAGGGTCTAGGGACTGTAGGGGTGAGAGTTTGGGGTTCAGGGACTTGGGCCTATAGACAGAGTCTAGGGTCGTGCGTGTAATGTATACGGACTATCTCAATTGATCAGTTGAGAAAGTTTTGTGCTTAAGACATGTTCGACCCGACCCTCCCCTCGGACCACCCTGCAAGTCGAGGCATGTGAGTGAAACAGAGGCATTCATATTGGAGTACCGAAAACAGACTGCTCTGCCGTCAACCACACATGAGAACTGCGTCACCCTCCTCAATGCCAGTCCAGCACATCAATGTTCATGATTATCAACTGGATCCTATCCCCGGCAGGACCAACAGGAATGGTTTAGGATTTTGGGTTTAGGGGTTTAGGGTTCAGGGTTCAGGGATTAGGGTTTAGGGCCCAGGATCTAGGGGTTCAGAATTCAAGGAGTGGTGTTTCGGGTGGTGGCTTAAGGACTAGAGTTTAGGGATTACTGCAGGGTCTAGAGTCGAGGGACGTCAGAGACAAGGCACACCCCGAAACCAATGCAAGTTTCAGGAAATTGGGGCTCCGTTTTTGGAGGGATACTTATTTGGGGCTTCAGGGATGCTTATGATAAGAGCTGTAGTAGGCCTCAACCCCACACCCGACGAGGGTAGAGTCACGGGCTTAGGGTTTAGGGTTTCGGGTCAAGGGTTTAGTGGCTCAAAACTTTATCTAAAATGTTCAAGGCTTTACGTGTTCATAGGTGACCTGTAGACCTGTGTGTATACGTGTGCATGTATATATACACATACATAGGTACAGACTAGCATAGGAGGGAGTCTAGTGTCACGCGATATGCGTCTAAGCTATAAACATAAGTGTATACCCATTGAACATCAAATGGACAAAGGGAGACAAGCTGCTGCAGCCCCTAGGGATTCGAATTGACACACTGCGGGTGTTTAGGGTTTAGGGTTTAGCGTTTAGGGTTTAGAGTTTAGGGTTTAGGGTTTAGGGTTTGGGGTCTAGGGTTTAGGGTTTAGGGTTTAGGGTATCATGAATACTTCAGGCTCCTACACCACCCTAAACCTGCGTCGAACCTTCGAGAGTTCCAGCCGGTACCGTCGCTCACTCGTCGCCTCTGTCGGGGCACTTTTGTGGGTTTAGGGTTTAGGGTTTCGGGTTTAGGGTTTAGGGTTTAGGGGTTGGGGTTTCGGTT